CCAGCAAAATGGTTGTGATTCCTGAAGAATTGAGAGCATCTCTGGATAAGTAAATAATGATTAAGAATGAGGTTTTAAAATCGAAACTCCCTCGTTTAGAAAGTCGCAGACTTTAACAAAAATTAAACGCGAGCTGCATGGGGTCGCAATCTCATGCAAAAAATATCATTTAAGCTTTACAATTTCTTTTCCAATCATGCTATTTACACCGCTTCTTATTCAATATAATTTTGTTGATATATAACACAAAATAGATATAAAATATAAGAATTCACAATTTTCGAAGTAATCTTCGCACACAAATTAACCCATTCTGATATTTCAACAGTCGTTTAAACTCAGATAATTCAAAAAAAAAGATTCAAATATTCTTTAAAACTTTACACTATTTATTGAGATAAATAAGACCATTTCTATATTATGATGATTTTAAAAATTAATTAGGGAGTATGTGTAGACAAAAGTATTTTTTGCAAATAATTGGCCAAAAATTATAATTTTTGGGGTTATAATATTTTTTTGAGTATTCTGTTTATTTATTTCGTTTTATCATCAATGAATGTCCTGACATCATCGTAAAAGCCTCTGAAAACACCTTTATCAATGGTATTTTTTGCATTTATTATATCATCCTCAAGAAACAAACCATTGTCAAGGTCGATTTCAATTAATGGTATCAAAAAAGGGCCCTTGAAGTATATCTTTGACCCAACATAAATTATAATCATCAAAACGACAGAAATATAATTTGCAAAAAAGTTTTTTGCACTACTTACCTCTTTCCATGGCCATACCGATAAATAAAATTCTACTATTGTGATTAATATTGACCAGAATAACCCATACCAAGCAATATATGGATTAAACTTCGTCGTCCAAGGTAAACTATTTAAATCCTTTCCTTGAGCTACCCATGCCTTTCGAAGTCTAATGTTTACAATGAATATTACTGACCACAATAGGAGGGCAACTAAGGAAGAAAGATTCAGAAACCAACCAAATACAGTCGCTCCACTTTCACTGAGATTTATATAAGCGAGGCCTCCACTTAGTAATGCCGAAAATATATACCCGATATATGGAACTCCTCTTCTATTCACCTTGCTGAATAATTTCGGAGCCATTTTCAAATGTGCAAGGCCCATTAAAATTCTAGGACATCCATAAAAAGTGCCGCTCGCAGAAGAAAAAACTGATACTAGTATGATGACATTCATTACATGAGCTAATCCAGATAATCCAGAATTCTTGAATGCAATCACAAAGGGAGAGGCATTTGTACCTGATCCACCTAAAAGTTGGTCATTATTTGGATTCATAACAATTGTCACAACAAAGGAACCTAAAATATAAAACAAGGTAATTCTTAGCCAAATAGATTTCACAGCAATAGGTACTGATTTGCGAGGAGATATACATTCAGCGGCAACAAGACCTACGAGTTCAATACCAGCTAATGAAAATATACAGGTGGGCAACACTGTGAGAAAACCTTTAAATCCATTATCATTAAATGGTACGGTCCTCCAATAATGGAAACCAACTGAATTACCTTCTGGTGCACCTCCAGCACTGATTATTATCATTACTATTATCGCTATGAAAATCCAAGAGAATTTTATTGCAGATAAGAATGATTCAATTTCTGCAAAGACGTTAACTGCAAATGAATGCATTGAAACTAATACAATGAAAAAAATAGTTATCCAAACACCAGGATTAATATTTGGTAGCCAAAAACCCATAACAGTTGCCATACCTACCAACTCATTTGATGCACCAATCATATTTCCCCACCAATGCATCCAACCGACAACAACTGAAAGTGAAGGATCAACAAACTGTGCTGACCATCGTGGGAATGCTGAAGTCACTGGGTATAAACTAGCTATCTCACCGATTGACATATTTAGAGCCCAAGCTACAGTTCCTGTGATCATGTAACCAATAAACAATCCCACAGGTCCTCCTTTATGGAGAGAGGCTCCAGTTCCGAGCCATAAACCCATACCAACTGCTGAACCTATCGAGATCATAAAAAGATGTCTTGAAGTCATTGATCTTTTCAATCCTCCATTTTCTTGAGGCATCTGCAACTCCACTATCTCATCATTGATATCTTTCTTATTAGAATTGCTAATGTTCGATACACTGGAAATCATTTTTGACCCCCTTTTTCTTTTTGAATTTCACTTGAAGTCTTATTCATATCTTATATATACCTATTTTTATTCATTCACATTCTTATAGTTGTTACCGAATAAAATTTCCAACTGTGGCTTGTGTTTATATCTCGCACAAGAATCAGTGATTTAAGTAACTAGAACTAATATCCTGAATTTAACATAGGCAAAATATCTTGAACTATTAAAGATTAAAAGGAAACCCCAAAGAGTTGTTTTGAATCCTAAAATCTCTGTCCTCGATCTATATAGGTTCTATTTATCAACAATATTGAATTTTAAACTACCTCTAACAATCATATAAAATATTAACCATGCAGGACTATTATATTATTTTTAGTTTTCAAGATCAGTGAATTATTGCTCTAAAGGACTTCCTGTGGCGACAAAACATGCAACGATTTGTGAATTGCGAAAAATTGTTGGCCACATTAGCTAATACCTCAATTGAAGAAACGACTAGTCGAAATCGATTATTTTTGAAGCCACACTACAAAAGAAAATGGTTTAAAAAGAATTTCATAAGTAGTAGAAAGAGGGCTTTTAAAGCAGTTCTGCAATAAAAGGTTTGTTCTTATTTTAATTAGTGACTTAAAAAATGAATAAAGATTGGGTAAGAAGTAAAAAGGAGATTAATGCAAAATATAACCTTAGGACCTTCATTGAAGCATCCCCAGATGTGAAAGGAAAGTACGAAATTATAGATTTACCTGCAATTGATTTATCTCTTTATAAGGAAGGTCCTGAAAATCTTGAAAGTCGTCAAAAGCTTGCAATTATATTAGAAGAGTCATTAATGGAACATGGATTCTTTAAATTGGTAGGCCATGGTATAGAGAAAGAAGTTTTTGATAATTTAAAAGCAATTGGCCAGTCCATTTTTGAATTGCCCGAAGAAGAGAAATCAAATTTCATAGCAAGTAGTCAATTTATTGAAGAAGAAAGAAATAGAGATTTGGGTGTAGTTAGAGGGGTTGGATTTAAGCCAAAAGGTTACTGGACCTACGCAAACGAAACTAAGGATAATGTGGAATTCTTTAATGTTCGTCATTTCTTACACAAAGACATTTTTTTCAATAGACTCTCGTATCCAGAATTCGTGAGAAATAATTTAGACGATATTTTCAACTATTTTAGATATTTGCACTTTAAAGTGTTGAAGAAAGTTTTGAATCTAATAGATATAGTTTTGGAATTGCCTGAGGGAACTCTTTGGAAGAAATTTTTTAAGGTTGTAGATAATGAAATTGATAATTCAGGGGGTGGATTTGGAAGATTTTTGTTGTACCATGAGGTTGATAAAAATTATAATAAATCAACTAATAATACTTGGATGAGGGGCCATACTGATGCTACTGCTTTAACTTTCATTGTTTCCCAACCAATTCTTTCTTTGCAAATTAGAGACTATAAAACTCAAGAATGGAAGTTTGTGAGTTACACGCCAAATTCATTAGTCGTAAATATTGGTGACGCTTTTCAGCAGCTTACTGGAGGCTACTTTAAGTCTTCAGTCCATAGAGTTGTTACTTCTATAGGTCATCAAAGCCATTTTAAGAGAAATACAATAATATATTTTTGTGATCCTTCAAGAAATACCTACATTGATCCAGAAGAGCTCAATTCACCTAAATTGAATGCTTTGGGCTTAAAGTCTGATCTGAAAAGACGGGTTACTTTTGGTGAATGGGACGATGCAAAAGGTAGGATTCTTAACAAGAAAAGTAATACCCAATCTAAACCATTAAATATCTTGGGCAGAGAGTCCATTGGCTCTTTGATACCTGATATAATAAAATCCTCAAGAAGTTAATCACTAGTACCAAAAAGAGATTAAAGATGTAAGGCTTACCATCTTCTAGATTTCAAGGGATGTATCGACGGTTCCATGTGATTATTACAACAAATTCCAAAACAAATTCCAATTGCACTAAAGCATTAGCTCAACATACTAACTATTAATTTTTTTGGGAAACTTAATAGAAGATATCATTTTGAGATTTCGTGATGTCTTGAATTTATAACCATTCATCTCATGATACTCAGCTTCTATTATTGGTAATTTAAACAAGAGCACACATCAAACGCATACGGCTACTAAAATGGACGCATTACTTTTTTACTGGAAGCTGTCTCATGGTGCCTCATATTTATTTAACTTCAATATTTTAAATCCGTAATAAGTAAGTATCCAAAAATACTTGCTCATTATTACCCTGGATCGTAACTATTAATTCGGTATTTATCCTAATCCATCCTGTTCTTTGGAACAACGAAAGTAATAAAATTACTATCTACTTCTGAAAAGTACATAGCATTATACAATAGATATTCTGATTTTATTTATCGTTAATGCTTATACTGAGAGAAGGAAAACCAAACACAACAATTTTGTCGAATCTTTGCTCCAATAATACCTGACAAATATCAAGATTCAAATGAATACGATAAGGGAATAGCCTGTAGGTATTCATTATCTTCGTGATGACTTTGAAGCAATATCTTCTATCGTTGTTCGGGTACCAAAAGATTCTGAACTCCTTTCATCAAATACTTCTTCACTAGAAGAATTACTATCATTTCCACATTTGTCATCTTCGTCTGCTCTATAAGCAGATATAGCTTCGCTTTTAGCATTAACTCGATTGCCATACTTCTTACTTTCATAACCATGTATTCCCAATATGTAGTCAAGACTATCAAGATCATTCTTCTTATGTTCTTCATTATTTGTGCCGTCCGATAATCCGAAGTCTATCAAAGAAATCTTACCTGAAACTGACACATGAATGTTGGCCGGCCTAACATCATTATGCGATATTCCTATCAGATGAAGCTCTTTAAGTCTTGACTTGAGGACTCTGCATACTTCTTTCTTATTCCACTTTTCTTCCGGTACCTCCTTCCCTAAGTATTCAAATATGTGCATCGGATGATCGGAAAGCCCGTTCCAATAACCAGAAACAAGGAGCTTTGGAAAACTAGAAGCAAATTCTGACTTAGCAATTCGTTCATTAATGAAAAGCTCATTG